ACATGTCCTGGCTGGGTGAGAACATGTCCTTGAGCGGCTGGGACGGTAGGAGGAGGGGCCTGCCTGCCAGGTGCACCCCAGGGAAGGGGATGGAGACGTCATTTCTTCTCCCTTGGGGTGGCTGGGGGGACGGGATGGTGGTGGCACTGTGCTCGAGGGGCAGCTGTTAGGCCCCCCCTCCTGAGATAGGCCCCAGGTCACACCTGTTACCCCCTTGGACTTCCAGCTCCTTCTGCTGTGGGTAGTTCTAGCACCCAGTGGACGAGAGGACGCTGTGGCTTCCTGTGGGCGTGGAGAGGTCTCTGAACCGTGGAGGCTGTGACTCAAGCCTCCGTTGTCGAGGGAGCTGAGCTTCCCTCACCAGCTCAGCCCCTTCCCCATCCAGGCTGGTGGGTTGTAGGGGCAGGTGTGGGGAGGTCTCCGGCCCCTTAGCAAGGACAGGGTTCCCAGGGGAAGGGGCCAGACTCCAGAACCCCGCTCCCTGCCCTTGTGGGCTTCGTCCTCTCCCGGCAGGGCCTGCTCCTGACCCATGTGACTTTTTTGAGACAGGTGACAGGGTCAAGCAAATCATCTATCTATGCCAGGCTTGGAACTGCTGGTGCGACTGTGAACAAACCAGACCAGACACCTGCCCTCGTGGGGTTTGCATTCCAGCAGGGGAGACAGAAAGCAAGGACTCAGCATTTCAGAATTCCTGACCTTTATTTCCTTCCCTCTTTCTTTCTTTGAGTTTAATTTTCTTTTCTTTCTCTACACTTAGATCATTGATTGTCAGCTCTTTCCCTCTCAAGTCTATGTATTTAAGACTGAATTTTCCTCAAAGCACAAGTTGACCACGTGCAAGTTTTTTGTTTTTTGGTTTTTTTTTCCTTTTCGTCTTTTTTACTGACCGGTAACGGGATTGCAACCCTCGGTGTTGCGCCCGCACTGCGCTCAGCCAGTGAGCGGACCGGTCTCTATATGGGATCCGAACCCTCGGCGGGAGCACCGCCATACTCCCAAGCGGCTCACTCTCCAGTGAGCCACCGGGCCGGCCCATCGTGCAAGTTTTGATATGCTGTATTTTCGTTATTCTTATGTTCAACATATTTTCTAATTTCCAGGTGTTTCTTTCAACAATGGGCTGGTCAGAACTGCATTGCTTTTTTTTATCTTTTCCTTTTTGATTTCTAACTTAGCTTCCATATGGCCAGAGAATATGTTTCATATTACTTCAATCCTTTAACTTGATTGAGACTTCTGTATGGCCCAGCATTTGGCCAATTTTGGTAAATGCTGCCTCTGTGTACTTAAAAAGAATGCGTATTCTGCATTTGTTGGATGCAGAGTTGTGTGCACATGATCTAGGTCCAGTAAGCTCATTGTGTTTTCCAAGTCTTCTACAGCATTACTAATTTCTTTTTTTTTTTAATTTTTTTTTCCCTTTTTGTCTGTTTTACTGACCGGTACGGGATCACAACCCTCGGTGTCGCGCCCGTACCGGGGACCGGCAACAGGATCGCAACCCTCAGTGTTGCGCCCGCCCCACGCTCAGCCAGTGAGCGGGAACCGGTCTCTACATGGGATCCGAACCCTCGGCGGGAGCGCCGCCGCACTCCCAGCGGCACACTCTCCAGTGCACCACCAGGCCAGCCCTTTTTTTAATTTTTAAATTTTATTTTGTCAATGTACAATGTGGTTGAATATTGTGGCCTATTACCGAAACCTCCCTCCCTCCTCCCTCTCCCCCTCCCACCCAACTATGTCCTTTCTGTATGTTGTCATGTCAACTTCAAGGAATTGTAATTGTTATGTCTTCTTCTCCCCCCTCCCCGGTTTTTTTTTTTTGTGTGTGTGTGTGTGTGTGTGTGTG